GCAAAAGTGGAAAATCTGTGAATGAAGTAAGAGAGGAATCCATTAGTACTTTAAAAGTTCAGTCCCAACAGCTATTGATCTTCCTCGCGTTGGAACTAAGTTATCTTAGTTTGAGTTCATGATGTATTCAAAATCTGCTTTAATTTTTATGCATACTTTTCATTTGTCCTGCCGTTTTAAAGGATTGTTAAGGTGTTTCACAGTTAAAGCCGATGGACCATTTCCGAGTTACCTTGTGCCTCTGTTTCGACACTTTTCATATGAAGAAGAGTTTGATTTGCATGAAAATGAACCTGTAGGCGGGACACAGTTTTGAAACTGAGGCAAAAGGCTACTTTGAAACGGCCTGTTTGAAGATGAGACTACATTCAGGCACTTAAATAAATACTACTCATGACAAGAACAACAACCAAGCACCATCCAGATAGAACATAGCCACCTAAGCACACTCTCTTTGGGCATCACGCGCACGATTGTGTGACCATTCTAGAGATCTGCGTCTTCGTCGTAAGGTAATTAAAACACGGCCTGTGATACTCTCTTGTTCAAAGGTGGAGTCGGAAAAGCTGCAGCAGATGTATGAATCCGGTAAAGACAGGTACACTAGAACGCTGAATCTACAGGCACAAATGGATGAGAGAGAGCTTCAGCAAGTAGCAGAGGATAAGCGGACGTTTTTGAAGACTGCTGTGGAATATTACATCAAAACGCTGGAAACTGGAGTACGTTGGAAATTGCTAAGCAAAAAAACATTTTACTGACTGACTGACTGACTGACTGATTGATTGACTGATCTAACTGACTGACTGACTTTAAGTGTCAATGAGGATTTAGCTTTAGAAAAAACTAATTGGGAAGACTATTTACTGGCTGGCTGACTGACTGACTGACTGACTGACTGACTGACTAACTGACCGACTAACTAACTGACTCAAAGATTATTTAGCTTTAGAAAAAAACTAATTTTGGTCACTATTTACACATAACAATATATCTTACCTACATAAAGTTTAAGTTATTTACAATGTCAATCGGGAAAACATAAATAAATTGGCTTTCGAAATACTGCGCCAACATTTAGAATATCAATTGATGCGTGACGTTTTGGCGCAAAGAATGATTTTCTGACCTCTGGACTTAAGACCACTCTATCTTAGCATAGATGGGGGCTATCTGCTCGGACTTACAAACTGCAACTCAAAACCGATTCCTTCCCTGTACAAGACCGGAATTAAACGAGATCAAAACCCGGTCCCCTTCCATTTTAATGAAATTTCCTTCTTAATTCTTGTAGGACAAGTATGACATGAGGGTATTCCGACTGTGCTCTCTGTGGTTTGATAATGCCAACGAGGAGGATGTCTCCGAGATGATAAAGGTTGGTGAAAATTTTGTTGATTAAAAGAGTGTGTGAAATTTTGAGAGGACCGGCGAAGATATAGAGCAGGAGTTAGCTTGCCAGTCAGCCAAGAGAAAAAGAAAGACCATTATCGCATTGATGTTCCACCATGTTACCAGTGCTAACCTTAACAGAACTTTATGGTCATAAAGACATTTTGTTCAAAGTGTCAGTTTTAATTAATCAAATAATGGAAGCAATTGTTATTTGTTCACCTTATAGAGAGGGCTGATGAAGATTCAGTCGCGCAAGTTTCTTCCTCTGATGTACCAGCTAGCAGCCAGACTCGGGACAAAGTCCCACGACAATCGCTTGTTCCAGGGAATTCTTAACGAGGTATGACGAGCATTTATCGATCTTAGTAATTGTGGAGATAGGCTGTGAACAATCTGTAAAGTTTTAACGTTCCACAGAAACAGACAATGGATGTCAACGGGTCTACTCCATGTTACGTGATTTACGTCTTACGCTAGAATTTAGCCGTGGAGAAACTGTTATCACTTTGAAGTGTAGCTTTTCTCCTAAACACCCCTTCCCCTTCCTTTTAGCTCTTTTATGTACATCAATTCTGTTGAAGTAATAGCTGCTTTCCATTTGGTCCGAACGAAACGGAAATTCAGGTTGGAGTAAATCACATTACACTGTTACTACACCACAGATAGCACCAAGCTAAAAGCAAACCACACCATTCCTTCAGTTCTTGTGCCAAGACACATGTCATTTTGTATTTGTGTACTAGTTTGTTTTATCTGGACTAACTGTATACTAATTGTTTTTCAGCTG